GTAAAATGCACCTAACAATTCTCCTTGATATAAATGTTTTCATAAACATGCTGCTAAAGCGTTGTGAAACCAAATAATTTATGAAGTATTAAAATTTTGAAAATTAAAATATAAGCGAGGTCTCACACTAGGAAGGATTTCCTCCTGTGTGGGACCACGCTTTTACAAACAGACCAGAAACAACAACTTGTTTCAGGTCCCGCACAGAGCAACTCCTTGTGTGATTGCAAAGAGTTGCTCCGTGCGGGAATCGAACCTGCTACACGTTGCACAGCAATCAGTTGCCAACTGCGCCAACCATGCTGTCTGCCATAGAAGTAATACCATAATATTACCTCAGCTAGTTATGTTATAAAATATTTAAAAAACAATTCATTCATAGCTTTGTGAGCACTACCAACTCAAAAATAAAAGCTCTTTTAAACGAAAATGAGGATAAAAACAATTAAAATCTAGTTAAAATGCATTTGAAACAACACAAATGCTGAGGTACGAAGAATGGAGTTCCACATACGTGCACATATTTTTACTTTTATTGCCAAATGTTATACCAAGGCGCCTTCCGGGTGCACACCTAACGTGGCTGCATACCTCTGGCCGCCATGTTTATACCGAAACACTTAAAATTTACCAAATAAACAGAACAGTAAATGTTTTAATTTTTATTATACTACGTGGGAAGGTAATAACATACTGATTTGCATACAAATGTAGAGTAATAAATATCAGTTTGTGACGGTGGCATGCAGTTTATTATGTTCTTTATAGTGGAAGTAGCAGGTCTTTTTTGTCCCCATCCCTGATGGAAAATCCTCAAATTGATTTTAAATGACTGCACGGTTGTTGCGGTGGCTGGGCAACCGGCTGCCGTGCAACGTGTCGCGGGTTCGATTCCCGTACGGAACAACACTTTGTGTGATCCACAAATTGTTGTTTCATGTCTGGGTGTCATGTGTATCTGAACTTGTATGTTTGTAAACGCACCCACGACACAGGAGATAATCCTAGTGTGGGGCAACGTTTATTAAAAAAGGAAAAAAAAGAAAAAGAAAAATTACCGAATATCAAAATTGTTATTAGAAAGCTCACCTCAAATAAACGAAAAATGATTATTATTAACAACAGTATAATGCCGTATAATGCAACATTCACCTGCTAAAATCTTATAGATAAAAATTTCACTATTCTCATTCTTTTTAAGAACAATGCAAAGCACTTCAATGTCCATTACCGTCTTTGATGCACCTTTTGTTCGTGAATGAAACTATACACCGTAATGAACATCTATTGTGCTGGGAGGTGCTGCGTTGGCACAAACAAATACTAGTATCTCTTAGTAAAGGCTCAAAGACTACGTACGTGCGCAATAAAGCCCCGAATGCGTGTTATTGTGTGACGAAATAGGTAGGCACATACCTACAGTTTCCGTTGCTGCAATTCACTAGAACATAATATAGAGGTAATTGCAGGAAGAAGAAGAATGCACCCAGTGATTTATTAAATTAGTGGTACTTATTCTTTTTATTCATGAGAGTGCGGGTTCGAAACCTATCAACGGCAAGTACCAATGTGACTTTTTTCGCGTTATATGTTCTTCTAAGATTATTTAGACACCACTGACAAACGGTGAAGGAAGACATCGTGAGGAAACCTGGGCTTATAATTTCTAATTATAAGATTCAAATCGCCAATCAACATTGAACAAGCATGGCGATTATTTCTCAAACCTTATCCGTATGAGAAGAGGCCTTTGGTCAACAGTAACCACTTATAGGCTGTTGATGATGAAGATTTTTTTAACATTATAAAATTATAATTTAACCTGGTGAACGTTTTGAAGATAATAGGTGAAATTACACGTAAACACTTTTACTGCGAATGCGTCAGCAGTTTATCTCCTTGCGTCAACACCTCTGCAGCTGGATTAAGTTGGACTAGCAGAGATGACGAAATACCTAAAATTGAGAGCATGGACTCGAGCTGTAATAATACAAAGCAAATACGTCTCTCTACCTTCACAATACGTAATAGGTTGTATTACATATTTCATTTCATAGGGAAAAGATAAAAGTAATAAGTAAGTGTGTAATATAATATTTTTCCCAAGCTAATTCATATTCTGTACCAGCCCAAGAATTAACTAAAAGAAATTACGTCACGTACCAGGGCTAAACCACGGATACCTTATCCGACCTATTTTTTGTATTAAGACGTGCCTAACAACGAATTTTGGTAGAAAAATCGGTAGGATACCCTTTTTTCTTAAGCCTATTGCGTAAAAGTAGTGCTTAAGTAGCTGAATGGCGAAGTTCTGTCAGCCCAAAGATAAAACTTTCTGAGTATTTAATACTAACTGATTATGAAAAACCGACTGGTATTGTAATGTTAATAAATCACTAAATGCTGGGTGTGGATAATGTAGATAGTGAATAACTCGCCCCTTATTACATGGGACTCATAACATAAATAGTGAAAAATGCGTCTTACATTGTACAGTAGCACTAAGTGCCGTATAATGTGCACCTCTGCCTACGCCTTCGGGGATAAAAAGGCGTGATGTTATGCTTATTGTAGTGTTTGGTAGCTCCAATATGATTTTTAATGGTTAAATACTCTAAGCTTTTTAATGATAAAACAAGTAATAATAATGGTCTACTGCGAAACCAAATACAAGACCACACGATGTAATCGCAATTTTAACAGTTTTAATTATGCGCCAATTAAACAAAAGCATGTAATGTGCGGTGTATTGTTGGTTCCATTCAATCAACTTGCTAAACAAACCGAGCAATCCACAATTGGCCGCATTTTGTCCGCACTCAGCCAAACTTTCGTCGTCGGTCTGATTGAAATGACTGATTTGCTCCACTAATTACTCAAAAGCGGCGCCACTATCGCATTTGATCGTTTTACCCTCAGATTTTGCTGGTCTGCAGATTATAACCGTTTAGTCATGCCTGGTCCCTGATCAACATTGATTCCGCAAATGCATTAGTTAGTTTGTTTCAAACTAGTTTCCTCATATACCATCCAAAAACTCCTGTATATGACAGGAAAAACAATACATTACAATGTGTACTAATAGTAGTCTAAACTATTCCCTGTACAAAAAATAATAATTTATTGACATTATGAAATCAACAAGAAAATGTAAATAAATCGTCATACAAATAATTAATCCTCAGTGGAATATAAAAACCTTGAGAGACTTTCATGGTAGTCAAAAAAGATAAAGGCCATTTGGAAAAAGGATCAGGAGAAATCATTGAATCCGTCACTCCTAGAATTAATGTCATTTATAAAAGAAAATCCCTATACAATTATGAACTTTTTAAAGGACTTCTTCATAGAGTTTTATATAATTAGGTACCTAATTAATTTCATAGTCCTTTTTGACATCAATTCTTTATTTGAAAATTAAGAAAATGTTCTGTTTTTAAAACTATCCTTAAAACCAACCTACCAACTATAAAATTAAAAAGCAGAATTGTGAATTTTTAAAATTAGTCGTCATAACGTAAGAGATCATGCTTTAAAATTCTTAGATTTAAGGCGTTATAGTGTATCTTGTCGATGTAAATTATTCTTAAAAATAAAATATATTCTTAGAAAGGCTCGAAAGAATTGGAAAAAAAATGAAATTGCACTTCTATGAGGAAACAAATAAGTACATAACATGGAAATTATATTTGGAAACAGTTGCTAACCACAATGACACTAGTGTACTCCATATAAAACATTTTGTATATACGTGTACCAAAC